CCATGTTTATTGCAGCTTTGTTCATAATAGCAAGAAGTTGGAAACAACCTAAGTGCCCATCATCAAATGAATGGCTAGAGAAGCTGTGATATATTCACACAATGGAACACTACGCTGCATTGAAAAACAAGGAACTTATGCAATATTATTCAAAATGGGTGACTGTGGAAGACATTATGCTGAGTGAAATATCTCAGTCACAAAAGGACAAACGCTGCATAGTACCACTGTTGTAGAATGGGAATGACATCAGGGTTGGGGTGAGACTGAGAAAAATTTGATAAATTATGTAGACTGCATTGAAACAGATGAGGGAGAGAACAGTTTAAAAGCAGTATTGGGTATTATGGTCATGACAAGAGACCAGAATGAAGGTTGCAGAGTGGAGTGTACTCGGGGTGGGGGGATTGTGTACCAATGAAGGCATTTTTCTTTTACTTTTAAAAGAGAAGAGCGAACTGGTGGGGTGTGGGGTGGGCAAGGAAAAGAGTGCAACAATGAATGAATGGAAATCCAAAATCTCTGTAAATGTTCATTAAAACTAATAAAATTATATATATATATGACAGGAAGGAGGGAGGAGACCAAAGTGGATGTCAAAAGAGACCCTGAAACTTGCTCCTCAACACAGAGCAGCTATAGCTAGAGGCAGAAATGAGGAAATCAGAGCTGAACAGAAAATCCCAAAGGGCAGCTTGAGAAGATAAAGCAAAGCATTAGAACGAAATACATGAAAAGCTGGGGTTAGAAAACTAGAAAGGGAAGGACTTACTCGGGATTTCTTAGGCTGAAAGAACTGGAGAAACGTTCAAGCCTTGAGTTGCAATACTGACGGATTCTGTGAGTAAAATACCGACTGCTGCTGGACACATCACAGGAAGATGCAACGAATTCACGAAGTCACTCCACCGGAAAGAACTGAGGACACGGGGCCACTTCAGGAGGGAGCGTACGATCACGCACAAGCAACAGCAAGCCACGAGGTACGTGTAAGCCGAGGCCTGGTGGGATCTGTGCGGCTTCAGGATTAATCTCCTGGCAGCATGTGAGATGGATTGGGCTGGGGGGACACAGCAGGCATTGGGACAGACTAAGAGGTGACAGAAACCCTAAAGGAAAGGATTCCAGAGCACTGCCACTAGGACAATGGCTGCACGGAGTGAGAGAAGGCAGGGGTAGCAGATGCGTGGGAACAGACGAGGTGAAGCCTCATGTGTGTGTGGGTGTTGGCACCACCTGTCCTGCCCTGACTGTCAGGACAAGGCATCAGGAGCCTCAGTGCCAGTGAGCAGGGCAAATGAGACGAGGGAGAGTCTGGAGGTAAAGCCGGGCTGGAATTGGCTGGTAATGCCTTGGTGAGAACAGGCCGCGGGCTGGGCTGGGCTGGGCATGCTGTGCTGTGAGAGGGAGACGGACGTGGTGGAGGACGTGGTGGAGTAGGTGTGGAGGGTGCGGGGGCGGAAAGTAACTGAGGTGTCAAGCTAGAGAGATCTGACCGTGGTGGTAATGCTATTAATAGAAAGACAGAAGTCAGAGCGAGACGCTGTCTTGAGGGGCAACAGCATGGTTGGAAACAGAAGGAGGCGTAGTCCACAGGTCACGGACTGGACACGGGATTGTAAATGTGCCACGCCAGAGGCAGCAGGGAGGACACAGAATTGGGGATGCTTAAAGAAGGGCTGTGGATCCCCAAAACAAGGACCAGGAAGGATAAGACTGCAACTCAGTCTAATTTTGTAAAAGGTATATAAATTTTTTTGTTTAAAATGAATAAGCAGATGCTTGTGAACAATGCTTCTTACTTTAACACTCTACCTTTCAGGAGCTTTGCTGCTGCTTGGAGAAGATGCTGTCATATGAAGAACAAGGAAAAAAAAGAACCATTTAAACTTGGCCTTTATCTTTTCTAGGAAAGGAGATGTTGGACACTGTTAAGTCAGAACCAATTCATAGCTTCAGTGGGTTTGCAGAGGCAGTAAATGGCACAGTTAGGAGATTCCCCATCTTTCTTCCGAGAGGCAGCTTGTGGATCTGAACCATGTGCCTTTGGGATGGCAGTCCAACTCCTCACCACTAAACCACCCGAGCTCCCTGGTAGAGAAGAATGGTATTTAATATGGATGACACCTAAATGAGAGAAAGCAGGGACATGAGTTGGGTGGGAGGCTGGTAAGTGTGGCTAGTCAACTCTAAGGAAGTTCAAGTTCAATGGACTACAGAAACATGAGAAGGGTGGGGTCTAAATCAGAGACCTTAGTATCTTTGGATTCTTATCTTGTCACATCTAGAGCACAGAACTTTGCAAAGAAGTGGAAAACCATGCTCTTTCAAGCCAACAGAATGAGATTCAAATTCTGACTCACCTAGTTTTAATAGCTGTGTGACTTCTGGTAAGTCACTTGACCTCTTTGGGCCTCTGCCTTCCCTTTCTGTAAAATGGGGACAATCACCCCTCTCGCACACTGTCCTTGTCAGGCTTAAAGGAGAGAAAATCTGAAAAGCACTTGGGTTAGTGAGTAGCACTTGGTGCTCAATGAAAGTGTCCGCTTTTTTACAGGAGTTTCCAGAGGAGAGAAGTGGTTAAGGAGAAGCCCAAGGACAGCGCCAGACACCAGCACTCAGCAAAGAATGGTTGAAAAGAGTCAAATACAGATTTTCAAACTCCAAGTTCAGAGGTGGAGAGACTGATCTAGGTTATATAACTCAGGAGGAAGGGAAAACTCTGTCCTTGTCTGTTCTTGTTTTAAAGGCTCCGGACAGCCTCACTGCATGGCCCATGACAGCTCCTGGAACTGCCCCTCTGCTTATTTATCTACTGTTGTAAATAACTGTGAGTTGAACAGGCTGGGGACACGGTTTCCTCTCCAGATTGTGTTTCTGGCTCACAGTCCCAGCAACAGACTGAAGTTCTGAAGATTGCTGCTGTGGAGAAAGCTACACGCCTGAGTGGTGTCTTCAAAAGCCAGGCAGGTATGTGAAGCATTACAGGAATGCACTGAAGGCCCCGTAGGCAGGCGATTCCTGATTCCTCCGGTGATGTGTCATTTTCAAGATCCCCAGAGGCTGTGTGAGCTGCTGGCCATCAACAGTCAAGACCGCTGCTGGTGTCTCTGCTCTGCAAAGATAGGAGCCCATTGGCTGTTCTCCAGATAGCACACAGGAACTCGGTGGGTGGACCCCAAAGGGAGTGCGGGCTCCACACAGGAAAAAGAAGTCGGCTTCTGATAGGGAGAGAACCCTGCGCAGCCTCTCCGTCAGGAGGCCACTGGGCTGAGCCTTCATTCTTAGTGCACGCCGCTCTTGGGCACGCACGTCATGATGTGTGCTGTCGTAGTTTGCTTTCTTGTTGTAGTGTTAGCTCATACTTGGATTCTTTCATTTTTATCCATTTATGGAAATGGCATCCACCTAGCTGAATTAAAACCCCAAGACTCTGTTTGATGTTTTCTCTTCATCGCTCCTTACACACAACCTTTCATGGCGTTCTGAGGAGTCTGTCTCTAAAGCGTTTTTCCAGCTGACTGCTTTTCTCCTCTTCATTTCCAGCACCTCGTCCGAGCCACTGCTGCTTGCCTGAGTGCTGCCCTGCCCTCCTACCGGCCCTCCTTGCTTTCGTTCTTGCTTCTAACAAGTCCTGCCAGCTTGGTTAGTAACGTTGCAGTTTGCTAACTGAAACATCATTGGTTCGAATCCATGATTCCAGCCACATCCTTCAGGAGATGTGGATGAGAAGTCTCCTCCTGCAAAGTTTTCCATTTTGGAAACCCAATTAATGGTTGAAAATGAGTTAGACTTGATCAGACGGCAGTGTGTTTATGTGGTTCTATTATTGATTCTGCCAGTCCATCTACCTTTCAGTGCAGGTTGTTGTTGTTAGGTGCCTCCGAGCGGAGTCCGACTCATAGTGACCCTGTGGACAGTTGCCCTGAACCCTGCCCTTTGATTTTCTGGGAGCGGTTACCAAGAATGTTATATTATAATCTAAATTATATTTATAGAGTTGTTGCTGCTATTGAGTGCCACTGAGGTGGAACTGACCCTTAGATGACTCTCTAGTGAGTGTTCCGAGGCCCTGAATCCCAAGGGATCAGACTGCCCCTCCTCCCACAGAGCAGTGGATGGATTTGAGCTGCCTATTTTTGGGGATTGCAGTGCAGTTTCTCACCGCCAGGCCTCCGGGCGCCCTTCAATATACATATGGTGTCCATCTATCCCTCTCCAGGGAGGTGTACAGACACATGTTGCCGCTGATTGTGGTGCACGGTGCCCGTGTGTGACAGCAGAACTGGGCCCCACAGGGCTTCCAAGAGCTAAGCTTTTTGGAAGTGGCCCACCAAGCTCCCTTTCAGTATCTATATATGATGTCTGTCTATCGAGAGTTGCATGCACACTCACATTGCTGTTGATTCTGGCACATGGTGCCATGTCTGACGGCAGAACTGAGTGCCATGGGCTTGCAAATCGCTAAGCTTTTTAGAAGGGAACCACCTGGCCTTTCTTCCAATGTCCCTCAAGGCGGCTTGAACACCTACCTTTGCAGTTAGCAGCTGAGGAAGTGAGCTGCTTGCAGTGACCAGAAATCTATAGAGATGTCTGTGCACTCACGTCTGCCTCTGTGTCCCCCGTGAATGTCTAGCATCTAGTGCGAGCTCTGACACAGGCCAGGAGCTCTGCATTTAAAGGAACCATAATGCCCAGCACTAAATATAGGCACATGTGCACAATTCTCTTTGGCCATTTAAATGTTCAGCTTACAAAAGAAAGAATTGTCAAATTTCATGTTATATATAACTCAAGAGGAACTGTCTGTAGCACGAAACCACCACTACCTCCACCACCAGGCAAGTCAGCCTTGCTTTAAATTCCAGAGTATTTCCAGTGGCTTTCCCCTCTCCCCTTGAGGACTGGGGCAGTTTGGGATTGGCAGGGTTAGTGAGCGACTGTTCTGCGTTGGGACATTGACACCCGTCTGTCCCTCACTGAGGGGACAGGCCACTCACCAACAAGCTGTGACACAGTGCATGGAAGTGCTGCTGATTTGTCTCCAGCTCGTCCCAGTCCAGCTGCCAGCAGCTCGTGGGTCTGAGGATGAAGGGGAGCCCGTACATCAGCGACTCACAGACCCCACTGAACTTGAGAGCCCTGGGAAGAGACAGGGGGGAGGACCTTTAGTGACCCCTGAGCCCAGGCCTGAACGCACGAGTCAGCCTGACTGAGACAGTGCTGACTAAGTCTTCTGAGCAGACTTTAGTTTGTGAGGACCCCACGTATGTCAGAGGAGGATGGCACCTCGAAGGGTCCTCACGGCTGTGACCTTTGGGAAGCAGACTGCCAGGGGCCTTGGCTTGAGTCTGAACTGCCGGACCTTTCAGTCAGTGGCCCAGCAGTGTACACTCCCAGGAGCTCTTTAAGTTGGTCTGTGAACCACTCAGTTTTGTACAGCCAGCACCTAGCATGGTGACTGGTGCACGGTGGCTTTTTAAAATGTGTTCAGGAATTCAGCACACACCACGAGGGCTCAAGACCAAGAAAGAGTTCCCTCGTCTCGATCTACTCCTTACAGAACCTCTCTGAGGAGTCTCCCACAGTGCTCTGCTGCAGCACTCACACTACACAGTTATACAGGGGCCGCCTGCCTCTCAGTCCTGGTCCCTCGGGGGGCGGTGCTGACACTACACAGTCATACAGGGGCCATCTGCCTCCCCGTCCTGGTCCCTCGGGGGGCGGTGCTGACAGAGGGGGCACTAAGAAGATCCTTGAGAGCATCTACAGCCACAGAGTGTGGGCAGTTTACCTGAGGAGCCGTGTACTGACCACCGGGATACAAACTAGGAAGCAGCAAAACTGGCCTTTGCTACTGCTGCTAACTCTACCGTAGAGCTCTGTCCTAGTCTCAGCTGCCCTGGAAGCAGGGGTTTCAGTGCTGAGGGAAACGAGAACTGTATGGGCTAGAGTCTATGTCTGGCTTACTCCTTGAAGGCTGGACCTCTGTCCTGCCTCCTCAACACAGGGCGTGTTCAGGAACAATCAGTGAATATGAACTAGAAAACGTTTCTACAGGAAACACAGAAGTCTACACACATGGAAACGTGGAGCGTGCTCTCAGAGGACACGATCCAGCATTGTGAAAAGGGCAGTATCATCAAAGGCAATCTACAAATACACTGCAATCCTGAGCCAGGTACTGTCATAACCCTTCACAGAGATGGGAAGAAAGACTCCTCAACCTCATACGGGAAGGAAAGAGAGCCTGGCTACGCACACAGATCCTGAGGAAGGAAAGTGAGCAGGAGGCCTCACACCGCCTGCTCCCGAAACCTCCCACACAGCCACGGTCATCAGGCCAGCTCCGTCCCGGCCCAGAGACAGGCACACAGACCACGGAAGGGAACTGAGAATCCATCTGCTTGTGAACAACAGATCTCTAAGAGATAATATCCATCAAGTAAGGGAAGCCAGTTTCTTTGACAAATGGTGCTGGAAAAATTAGTTATCTTTTGCAGAGAATGGAAACAAAACCCTTACCTAATACCATATACAATAACTAACTCAAAATGAATCAAGATCCTTGATGTAAAATCTAAAACTATAAAGCTCATCAAAGAAAAAAAAAAACAACCACGGGGAAATTCAGGACCTTTAATCTACGGCATAAATAAAAGAAAACCTTGCAGTCCAGTCAGAACCTACTCATAGCTGACCCTCCCCGGCTTTCAGAGACCATAAAAAGCACGGGAGAAGACTGCCCGTCCTCCTCCCGAGGGGAAGCTGGTGGATTCCAACTGCCCACCTCTGGGTGGAGACAGCACATCTCTCTACCCTCTAGGCCATCATAGGTCCCCAGGGCATGAACAGATTAACAGATAAACTGACAAGAGAGGACAACTAGGTGACAGGGGTCTCTTAAAAATGAAATCTTCATGTGCATCAGGACTTCTCCACAGCAGTAAAGAGAGAATCTACAGACTGGGGCGGGAGGGCAATCTTCTTTAGCGATGACACACCTGACAAGGGATTCATCTCTTGGGCAGAGGACATGAGAACCACTTTGCCAAAGGAGACATACAGATGGCCAACAGGCACAGGAAGACATGCTCAAGGTCATCAGCTATTAGAGAGAAGCAGATCAGACCCTCCAACCCTAGCAAACCACCAGTGGTCAGTAAGTGAGCAAACGGCAAATGCTGCCAGGGAACGGAGAGACTGGAACTCTCAGCCACTGCCCGTGACAACGTGAAACGGTGCAACCATGATGGAGAACACTTTTCCACTTGCTTACAAAGTTGGGAGCAGAAACCACGTTGCATCTAGCAATCCCAGTACTAGATACATGCTCCAAAGAACTAACAGCTGGGCCAGAAAGGCCCTCCTGACACTCATGTTTATCGCTGCAATATTTACAACAGCAAACAGTTGGAAACAACCCAAATCAATGTCCATCAACAGCCAAATGTCTGAAGAACCGGGAACAGCCACACACTGGAGTATTACGCACCACTGAAAAACGACCAAAGATCTGTGAGATCCACATGAGTGAACCTAGAACAAATGGTGCTGAGCGACATCAGTCAGTCACAAAGGGACAATTATGGTTGAAGACCAGCACTATAAAAAGCCAAGGAGAGGTTTCCACCTGGAGAGGCCAACAGGGATGAAAAGGGAGAAAAAAGGAATCAACAGACCAGTGAAGGGGGAGAGGGAGGCTCACTCAATGAGGGTTTGAGTGGGCATTGTTGTGAATGAATCACGTTATCACCTGTAAGCAGCATTATAAAACCATGCCCATGAACTACAGAATGAAAATGAGATGAGTTGTAAACTTTCAAAGGAAAGAAAAAAAAATATTGCACTAAAGTACTTTTTCAAAACAACAGTAATGTCAGAACTTTTTCCTGATGTTCCTCTTGTCTTTGCTGTGGAATCCCAGTCCCTGGGGGACTCACCAAGGCATACCTCCCCTCTCCTCAGTTGGCCTCCCTTTTCCACATGCACACATGTGAGGAGTTCCTGCTCTGGAGGTGACCCTTGCCAGCCTGCCTGACACTCTGCCTTCCGTCCCCGGGCTAGCTAGGCAGGGGGCTGGGGAGGTTCTCTGGCCCGTACTTGATCACCCGGAGCCTGTAAGGCGCAGATGACGCCTGGGAAGCCGTCTGGTGCTGTGTGTTCAGGTCCTCCATGGGGACCTCTGTTCCCAGGGGGCTGGCGGTGCTGCCGGGAAGCAGGCCTGGGCTGAGGAGTCGCTCCTGGAGATCACATTTCAGACACACTACAACAAGAAGCACATTTGGAGAAGGGTTACAGGTCACGGATTACCCCGGGCTAGGAGGGTGCGAGGCACCATCTGCCTCCCACTCAGTGTCTACCAGGGGGCAGAGCTGGGAGTGGGAAGGGAGAGGCTGACTCGGCAATCTACAGCATCTCTGATACTACGCGGTGTTGTGGTGTGATGTCGAGCCAGAGCTGACCCGTAGCGGCTCCTCCAGGGGGTCGCATCGGAGGAGACTGCCCGTCTTTCTTCCATGTAGCAACTGGTCGACGTGAACCGTGTCTTTGCCAGCTTCTTACCACTAGGCCACCTGAGCACCCTAAGTTGTTGGTGATTCACAGTGACCCTATGAACAGCAGACGTGAACCCCGACCTATCCTGTGCCATCCTCTCACTTGCGGCAGTCACTGTGTCAGTCCACCTGGTAGAGGGCCTTCGTCTCCTTCTCTGACCCTCCACCTTTTCAAGCCTGATGTCTCTCTCCAAGGAACAGCCTGTCCTAGCAACACACCCAAAGGATGTGAGATGAGCTTCATTGTCCTTGCCTCCAACGAGCACTCTGGCTGCACCTTCTCTGAAACACCTCTGTTCTCTCGGCCGTGCCTGGGATTCTCTTCTCCAACACCACAGCTCAGAGGCATCGACGACCCTTCTGTCTTCCTTATTCGCTGTCCAGCTCTCAGCAGCATAGTTAACTCGATTTCTGGGTCCTACATGATTTTTATTTTTAGTGAAAATTTACACGTCATACTGGGGTTTTTTTGTCCAATCCTTCCACTCTGGGTCTGACAGGGCTTTTGTTTCTCTCTTCCAGGGCTGGCTGGACGAGGGCCTCGTACTGGGAGGTCAGGTGTGTGGTCATGAGAGGAGCGTGCAGCCTCCGAGGGAAGGGTCAGCACTACAGCAGCAGAGACCCTTCCTCCTCTGAGGGAGTCAGAGGAGGAAGCCTTCCTTGGCTGCTTCCTTGTGGCTAAGCTTTGGCAAGAGGCCGGGCGGCTGAAGGAAGAGCAGGAAAGCAGAAGTCAGCCGGGAGGTCAGCTGACAGCAGTTCCTCTGCGGCTCTAGCACACAGGGACAATGGGGGAGGGAGGGCCAAGTTTCGGAAGTGGACAATTTTTTCAATTCCTCAAATAAGCCTGCGTTATCATTAGTTTTTCATTTTCTGAGTCTTGGAGTGTCACCAAAGCTGGCTCGGACCAGGTGGTGGCCTGCCCTGGCCCCAGCACACGCGTTCTCAGCCATAGTGTGATATGCTCTCTGGCATCAGGCTTGGGTATCACAAGGTTTTCAACACGATGTAAAGCCAGTTAGAATACTAGCAACGGACTTGCATGAAGGAGAATGCTCAGAATTTATGGGAAGGCTAGAAGGACATCATGCTTGGAAGGGTGGAAGAGGGTGGGCCCGGGAGGGGAAGACCCTGGATGAGATGGACTGACACAGTGACTGTGGCAATGGGGGCAGGTGTGTCAGAGACGGTGAGGCTGGCTACAGACAGGGCAGGGTTTGGCCTTTACTGTGGGTGTTTAAAATCTCAGGTGGGTCACACCCACTCCAAGAGGAGCCATACTATTCCCTCCCTACCTGTTACAGCTGTGCCTGATCGAGTCCAGAGAGGAGCTCCCTAGAAAATATGCTGCGTGGACTTTGGCTCTGAATTCTACCACATGCCTCAAAAACTGGCAGATTTTTAAAAAAAATTACAAATAAACCTTGTGTTTCTGACCCTGGTGCTGAAAGAAGCACAGAGATGCTAGTGAACACCCCGAGCAAATGCACCGAGCAGACAGAGAGCAGAGAGGCCGGGAACAGGAGTTCTGGCTTCTCAGGGATCCTGGTGTTTGGATAGGGAGCTGGTGGCCTACTGTGCTACAATCAAGAAGGCAGGTGGTTCAAATCCAGCAGGTGCTCCACGGGAGAAGGATGAACAATCTCCTCCATGCAATTAACTGCCTCTGAAACCCCCCTGGAGGGTCAGCTATGGGTTGGTTCCAACTTGATGGTACACAACAACAATATTTGGATCCACAATCAACACTCTTGGTACCAGTAGTCAAGAGAGATCAGGAGATATTTTGCTTTGGTTAAGTGTGCTGTCAAGGACTTCTTCAAAATAGTGAAGAGCAATGATGTCAGTTTGAAGATTAAGGTGCGCCTGATTCAGAGCAAGGTCTTCTCAATCACCTGCTATGCATTGGTGAGATGGACAATAAATAAGGAAGACAGAAGAAGAGTTGAAGCCTTTGAGCTGTGGTGTTGGAGAAGAGCACTGCATATCTCATGGATGGCTAAGAGAGCAAACATGTATATCCTGGAGAAGGTGCAGACAGAGTGCTCCGTGGAGGCAAAGTTACTGAAGATTTGTCTCTCATCCTCTGGACATTTATGCAGATGACACGACCTTGCCCAATGAACATGAGGAGAACCTGAAATGCTTGCTGCAGAAGATCTGTGACTACAGCCTTCAATTCAGATAATATTTCAACATCTAGGGGGGAAAAAATGCGCATCTTTGGGCCAACAGTCAACATCATGATAGACTGAAAAAAGGAAAATGTACAACAATAAATGAATGCAAAGTCAACATTTTTATAAACTTTCATTAAAATCACAATAAAAAAACAGCAACCAAAAGATGAGAAACTCTACTATCACGGGCCTCCTCAGAGTACTCAAGAGTAATGATTTCAGTTTCAAGACTAAGGTGCACCTGATCCAAGCCATGGTCTTCTCAACTGCTTGCTGTGCATCTGAAAGTTGGACAATGACTAAGGTTGACAGAAGACTTTGGATTGTGGTGTTGGAGATGAGTATTGAACATTCCAGAGATAACCAAGAGAACAAACAGATCTGTCCTGAAGAAAGTGAAACCACGGTGCTCCTTAGAGGCAAGGATGATGAAACGCTGTCCCATCTATTTGGACATGTTAGGAGGGGTCCTCCGTCCTTGGAGAGGACCATCATGCTGAGAAATGTGGAGAGACAGCATAAAAGAGGAAGACCTACAACAATCAGACGGACATGTTGACTGTAACAAAGGGCTGAGAGTATTGGAGACGGTGAGGATGGCGTTGGACAGGGCAGGGTTCAGAGGGTCGCTAAGAGTCGCAGGCAACCTGACGGCACATCACAGGCCTCCACACAATCCTGGACAGGAGTGGTGGAAAAGGGCGACCTTGTCCAATTCTCCTTTGTAAGTGGAATGTCTTCAATCTCGCCACTGAGACTGATGCTGGCTGTGGTTCTGTATAGATACTTTCCATTGTGGTGAGGAATTTCCATTCTACTCCTATTCTCTTGAGCTATTTTGTCAGGAAAGGGTGTTGAATTTTGTCAGACGCTTTTTGTGCATCACCTGAGATAACCATGTGGCTATTTTCCTCTGTTTCATTGCTTTTTGGCTGTTGTTTCTCCCCCTCCCCCTCTCCTCTGTCCCCATCCTCTTACTCATATCATCTGCGTTCTCTTCTCTCTAGCTTCTTTCTTTCCGTTGTCTCTCTCTTCCTCTATTTTTGCTTTTCTTCATTCGGTCTTTTATCCTGATCCTCCTTCATTCAGTAATCCCCTCAGTTTTGGTTTTTCTGTTTTCCTTTCATGTCCAGGCTTGTTTGTATTTTGAGAGTGTTCTCCGGGTTTTGATTCTGGACTTTTTTTTTCTTTTTTTTT